AACTCTGTGCCAATTACCATGAATGATTTCACGTGAAGAAAATACTAAGAGCACTAACTATGTTATTTCTGAGAATGCAACACATGGTCTCAGAGTCCGGATATTAACGTAATTTTAAAAATAAATATTTCTTAACTACAAATGGGGTAAAATATAATCTTTGTTGAAAATAACAATGCTCCTGCACATTATAATATGCTATATAGTATGAGCTACTAACAGCATCATTAAATAAACCACAAGTGGAAGAAATACATCAGCACAGAGGCATATCAAACTCAGAGCAGACATCATAATGAATGTATGATTAAATAAATGTAGTCTCTGGTTAACCTTATGCAACAGTATTTAAAATAAATGAGCAAAAGGGAATAGGTCAGTTATGATTCTAAAACAAATCATTTTCCCCATTATATTAAAAAATACAATTTTGTGGCCATCAGAGCAAACACTGATCCACTCGGCACAGATCGAATAACACATCAATATAAATGATCAAAAGGATTAACGGCAACATGATGAAGTATTAGCAGCACCACAGTTGCCCACTCAACAACACAAACTGCAGTAAACCCTCAATTTAATGGATTTTGGATTTAATGGACACAATCTGGTATAACTAATTTTTTTTTTTTTTGGACCACTCGGGTTTTTTGCACTAAATTATCCCTTTATACTGTAATATGTTTAATGGTGTTCCTAATAAAAATTATGGATTACTGGCACCATAAAAACAATTGTTCAATTTAATGGACAATCTGCATTGCTGGACAACCCTTCCCCCTATTAGTCTGTTAAATCGTGGGTTTACTGTACTTCAAACTAGGAATGCCTCGACATGCTCTACAACATTCTTCTTGCCTCCTAGGCATGTTACCAACAGCAGTAGGAGATCCTGCTTAAGTTGGTAAAACAGATGTACTGTAATATACCACACCGAAGCAAGTGTGCTGTAGAAATGACCAACAGAGCATAAATTAGACCACACATACTTCAGCACTGTTAAAGAGAGAAAATTACTTCCAATCAACCCTTCGTAGCCTCTTCGTTACTAGGTTTGCCACTGTTAAAGACTTGTATTAAACTCAGTCCGAGATTCTTCCACATATATGACACACACTGGCAAGGTTGTGATCTCTATGTTTGGTGTTGCAACGTGGTAAATGTTTTTGTAACATTTTGTTCCATAAATAAACTAATGTTGCATCCCATGTGATGTTGTCTTTTTCTCTTTTCAATGTATAGGTATTCAGGGGAAAAAACCGGACCACAAAGGATTCATAAAAACATGAAAAATTATAACACATTAGATTCCATATGTGATTCATAAGGAGTCTGCAGTGTCCACGCGGTCTGAGGCGTGGGCCTTGTGCCGCTTCGTCACTGAGACCGTGGGTTCGAATCTCACTCAAGCCATGGATGTTTTTCCGTGTTGTGCTGTCCTGTGTACAGGTAGAGGCCTTGCGACGGGCTGATTCCTCGTCCAAGGAGTCCTACCGAATGTCTATAGATCAAGCCAACGAAAAGTTGGGATCCGCAGTGCTCAGGCACTTGAAGAACGGGTCGTTCCCAGTATTCCAGTATGTGATTCATAATGATCCCACAATAAGAATTTCTAAAATGTAACTATCTTCTTCTATGGTGCAACAGCCCAAAGTCGAGCCCTGGCATCCTTAAAATGTAACTATAGAAATTGAAAAATCTTGTCTAAAAATTACACCCATGGATGTCCCTCGTATTTTATTTTGGCTCTTGAAATAAAGGAATACACAAATTTCATATAAAATAATAATCAGTGCAGCAACTGTAAATAAATCAACGATCCAGCCTTCGCTACTCACTATGCAGCTACATAGGAATGAAATGTTTACCAAAAATATAAATTAAAACTTAAGTTGGTGAAAGGGTACAAATAGTTAACCTGATATAATTATAGGTCACAGTACTTTTTCAGAAACACCGTTAAATATCACATCAGTTTATGTATGATACCACATTTACAGAATAACAACAATTTCAGAACAAGAGTAAACAATTGCTACCATGTTTGTGTTTTTTAAATAAATGTGTAACTTGTATTTTCAAGTTCTAAGACAGAAACTAGTGCCAAAAGTTTCATACACTCTGTTACATGATTTGCTTACGTCAAAAAGATAGCATGACGGCATAAGGCGCAAAACTGTCCCTAAGCACTACCCAGATAAGTCAGCACACTTGCATATGTTATTATTTCTTGTGCATAATTTTCTGACAGCAGCAACAGAAAACACTGCCTTGAAGATAAACTATACAATGTGCTGTAGAAGTAAGTAATGAGAGGCAGGAAAAGCTAAACATTAACCTGAGTTTTGCAGAAAATAATATGCACGACCAGGCAGTTAAAAATGAGCTTCAGCTGATATTATGAAATAGCGAGTAACACTAAAATAAATTGCTTCAAAAACACTCTTCTTGAAGCAAAATCATGGCCTGACGGTTCTTGTACACTTTACATTTTGTAGGGGTGACAATGTAAGTCAGACTACAGTAACTGTCAAAGCAATATGCTCAATATGTTAGAGGCAACAGAATGTTTGCATGCTGACCATTTGGGGCTGCAAGCAATAGCAACTCATACCCTTTCAGTGTTTTCCAGCGTCCACGTAGTTTTTTGTAAAAGCTGTTGTTCAAAACTTCTCAAACCCAGTTCCTAATGGTGTTGTGATAAGGAACTTTTCCACGTCTCCCAACGTTAAAATGCTGTCTGAATATTCATCGTGTTGCTTTCAAAGAGCTGTTATTTTTTAAAAATGTCTCTATGGCAAATGCACAGTGCACAGCCAACCCACTCATTCATGTAGAATTTAAGTTCCTCATCATGGTAAGTATGAAAATGGCTCTAAAACCTCCAAGACATTGGTAAACTTCTACCTGACTACACAGTGCTACAACCCAGAAGACAGTCATCTTCAACCACTGATCCATGTTTACTAATTGACATCCCTAGCTGAATGCAAAGTGCATTTTGTTTCAACACCTTTACAGGGCCACCAGAGTACTACATAAATACAAATAATGGATAAATGCTGCCCCATCCTGTACATATGTAGAAATAAATTATTAGGTGTCTGTGTTAATGAACAGTTTCACTGCACATATGGCTTGAAGATTTAAAACAATATTACTGAAGAAGTAAAAACTGTGTAGGTACCTCACATTTATATAATACACTGCTGAAGATATCTACTTCCTTAATTCATTAATTTTATTAAATTTAACTCAAAAATAGTGAAGGTATTAATTTTTTGTATTATATCACCCTTGTCATTTAAACCCTTTGGCACTGGGGGATTTAAAATCTCTAAATCCATCAAGGCTCAAATTTTCAATGGCATAACGAGTCAATTTTCCTGATAATCTTAAAAGCTGATCACAGCATAAAATGTGACTTGTCAGTGATATTTTTTACTGCTTAACAACACATGCTTCTAGCCTTTCATATTTCATTACATAATGTTAATGATATTGTAATTGTTAATAAAACTGGACATTCATGCAAGAATATGAAAACTGAAAAAGTTTATATAGATGTAACAATTAAAATCGTACACTGCACACATTTGGTAAAGACACCACAGCAGCACAGTTACAGATTACTGTAATCAAAAGTGCAGGGACATACATAAAATGAGCAACATGTAAGAGGGGTATACAGCTCTCATAAAATCCTTGGAATGTCTTTAGTCATAAATAATATTCAAACTCTATGTCAGGTTAAGGAACTGTTAGGTGTAATAACAACAAAGAAAACCCAAATTTATAGCTTGGAACATGTGGTAATGATATTACAGAATTAATAAACATATATTTAATATAAATATCATTATCATCAACATTAGCAATGAAGCAGTTTGACCAACTATTGGTCTGTTCTAACCTCATTCATCCAAAAGTCTCTAAATAGGTAACCATTTGTTCCTTAATCCATGTGGTAATTTTTTTTAATAATTACAAAAATTGTCTCTTTGAACTTTGTCAACACATTATTGTGTCCAATAGTTTTTATATCTCCGAGTTTTGTTCAACAAAGGTTCTTAGATGGTTATGATCTGGCAAAGCCATATACTCTGACAGAAGTTTAGCAACTTTTCAGATATCCTTGCTGCCTCGATCATCAGGGGGATGACTACATGGCACTATAACCTAGAAGGCAGTCATCTTCGAACTCACTGTTGTGAAAACCTCAAATAAACCACAGGTTACGTTTTTAGTCCTTTCAATGTGTTAATGTATTTAGTGTAATACACAGCTTCAAATTTTTAACTGAAATGTAAACAAGAAGAAGTTTTAAAGGCCTTGCCTTGCGTGCAAAACACCTAATCCGCACAATGAAAGTCAACAAAACAAGAATTTGCCGATAAGTATTAAAGTTTACAAAACACTTAAGTCATTGGAAACCACGACAAATAAGCACGAAGTTCTGAACAGACTACCTACAGTTATTAGACTACAGGACGGTCCCAGTCTCCGTAAAAGAAAATGTAAATTTAAGGCTGGGGCAAGTCCTCTTTAAGTGCCAAACATCCCAGACCTACTAGTGTTATATCTTACATTACATTTCGAATGGGCTAGGGATAGACTGTTTACATTGCCACTATTCTTAGTTCATTGCTAGCAAGCAAAAATCCGGGGCTAAGCGATTGACAAGCAGAGCAAATGCATTAATAAATAAAATGCAAGAAATAACATGGTATTAAGTGCATGAATGACTACTTACATATCTGAGCTGGCTGCTACCACGTTATAACAAAATATTCACTCAATATTCTCTAAATTTCAAAAAGTGTAACACTTCTTCCGTAGTATACAAAATCCTTCCAACAATGCTTTAGGCATCGTCCGCTTTTTTGATTGCGTAATGCGCAACGCATGCGCATTACAAATTGCAGCTGATTTTAGCATAGAGGACACAATGTTTTGAAGCAACTACACAGGCATCAGGTGAGCCAACTGTTGTGACGTTTATCGATTCGAACACTTGTTTAGACTTAGGGCTGTAAACTGAACAATATATCAGAAAACGACTAAGTGATGGTGGGGTATGGAGCTGAAATATGATACAATGAGTGTATCATTAGGAAAATCGTATGTAATATTGGAACCTCTGAACATTTTCCCGTCATGTTTTATTTAAAATATGGCAGATTAGGTTATAATGTCATGGCAATCGGAAATTATAATCTACCATAACAGTATTGTTTACATTGGTTTAAAGTTCTCTGAAAGAGCTTGAAAGTTTATTTAAAATGTCCACAAAAGTAACGATTGGTTCTGAATACTTGCCACTTCACCACAAGAGCAAGGGTTTTATGCTTAAAGTTCCCTTTGGGAAATTAGCATGGGTAACAGTTTCCCTTCCTCTGCTAAGTTTCATATTCTGTGTTATATGGTCCATTTTATTTCACTTTGAAAGGGCTACATATACACATTGTGAGGTAAGTAGTTTATTCATTGATGCTTCCATACTTTCATACAGCATAGGTTAAAATCCCTAATGTATTATTTTTTGTTGTCAGGTTCCAAACTTCTTACCATCAATATCTGCAGCGATTGGTGGGTTTTCTCCACAGCGGCATGTATGGAGGATAGCAATAGCAATTCATGCTGTACCAAGGCTACTTGTTGCCAGAATGTACTACAGATATTATCAAGGGGTACTCTATCAATGGATACATTTCATGGCAGCAATAGCTTGCTGGCTCAATGTCGTAGAAAATGTGGCACTCATTGGCCTCACATTCATTTCGTCTGCAGAAAACCATGGTATGTGTATGTATAGAACACAATTCCAAAAACATATTTTATGTTACACACTGTTGGTGATCTTCTGGATAGCTGCACTATGTAGTATTTCGGTTGTATGCCAGTGTCAGCCCTGGAGATGAAGGCAGGAGATCTTTCTGAACCATTGGCATGCAGCTTAAGTACTACAGAGCATAACTATCAAGAATACCAATGTAAGCAATTGCATCACCAGAAAGCCATAAATCCTTTATGTTATAACTCTTCTGAATGTGGATTGTTATCTTCTGGGTTATGATGTGTAGTAGTGATGCGGATGGTTACCAGTGTTTCAGAAGGACTTTCTGCCTCCATTTTCAGGGAAGAAGATGGAGGTACTAGATTCATCCTAAATATTGGTAATCACAAGACCACATGGCATCATAACAAAGAAGACCACAGACGAAATTTTCAATGCTGTGAAAATCGCAGATTTCACTCTCTTAATACCCTTCAAACCAAGTATGGAAAAAGAGATAGTAATATTAATGAAGAAGAGTTAAAGAAAAATTAATCATGTAATAAATGACTATAAGCCTTCACAGATTAATAAATGGGACAGTTTATCGTTGTGTTGACATTCTATGCACATGTTCATCAGTTGGTGTCAATGGAGTTGTCACTTATGACTATCTGTTCAGTTTGGACGGTGATGATATTGGACTATAGAACATCAGTTGCTTCGTAAGTAATATATTGTTTTAATTTTTGGAACAGAAGAATTGCCTTCCTCTTGTGCATTTTCAAATTGATTTTAAACCACGCCCCCTCAGAAGAAATACCCAAGGAGTGACTATAATCAAAAAAGAAAGTTGTTTGAATTAAGCATCAAAATTATGTACAGAACAAGAAAAAGAAACTTCTCATAATTTACATCTCAGAAAGGAAATGTCTGTTCAGGAAAGAAGCCGTGCAAAAGAAGATTTATGCCGTGGAAATATGTCCAAAAGCATATTTTTACATAACTGGCTGATTTCCAGGTATCATTTATTGATAGTTGATTCAACGCCATATGCGTCACACATTGCTCAGCTGTTGCGGTGTTCTTCACCAGAATCATCTGAGTCGAATTCTGCTCTTTGTGAGTGACCTCTCAGCGCAAAAGTCTGGTGATAAGCAGCAAGAAGCAGCTTCATAAAAGCAACGGCAGCCAAACTGCATTGCTGCAGGTTCACGCCTGTTCTTGCATAGTATCGTAACCTTGTTGCCTGATGGGGATGAAACGTGTGGATTTATATAAGCCAAGTTTGCAAATAAATATACAGTATTCATGAGTACATCTTTTTTTGAAAAGCAAATACATTTAGCAAAATGATTTTCATTCACTGAAAACGAACATTCTACAATGTTGCATTTGACACCACTGTACTCGTACGCTCTGTTTCCTTGCTCTCTCACCCCCTTTGCTTACTTCCTTGTACCTCAGAGCCACAGAGGTTGGTGCATGTCTCAACTGCCAATTCAAGTGCAAAAATTAAGAAATGTTTTGCAGTACTGATTCCAAGAAATTATTTGTGAAATAATTTTGAAGTTTTTCTCGATCACTGACCATTCTGGACAGAATACTTCCTCCAAGTTGTAACCAAACCTTGCCAACCTAACATGAGAATTCTGTATTTACCATCATCACAGAATAGAATTCATGTAGATATTTATTGGTGTGTTGGCATGACAGTTTGAACTTGAAAATATAACTAGAAGATCGCTTCTTGAGTTGGTTTCAATCGATGCGCATGGATGGGACAAGAGGTGTGCACCGGGTATTGGTTGGGAAGCCTGAGGGGAAGAGGTCGCTGGGGAGACATAGACGTAGATGGGAGGATAATCTCAGGCGGGATCTATGGGAGATAGGAGTTGAAGGAGAATGAATTTTGTTGGCCCAGGACAGGGACCGGTGGAGGGCTTTGGTTAATTCGGTGATGAACCTGCGGGTTCGGTAAGCCATCTGGTTGGTTGGGTCCACTATTTGGGAAGCCTGAGGGGAAGAGACCTCTGGGGAGACCTAGACGTAGATGGGAGGATAATGTCAGGCGGGATGTATGGGGGATAGGAGTTGAAGGAAACTGGATTTTGTTGGCCCAGGACAGGGTCCGGTGGAGGGCTTTGGTTAATTCGGTGATGAACCTTCGGGTTCGGTAAGCCATCTGGTTGGTTGGGTCCACTATTTGGGAAGCCTGAAGGGAAGAGACCGCTGAGGAGACGTAGATGGAGGATAATTTCAGGCGGGATCTATGGGAGATAGGAGTTGAAGGAGACTGGATTTTGTTGGCCTAGGACAGGGTCTGGTGGAGGGCTTTGGTTAATTTGGTGATGAACCTTCAGGTTCGGTAAGCCATCTAGTTAGTTAGTTAGTTGGAAATTAGAGCAACATTTTAAACTTGTCCATATGTGTAACTCTGTTTTGTTTCACTTTTACAGTTGTTCATGAAAGATGTTTTGTGACGTTCATGGTCACATCAGAATTGTACATGATGCTGACTTGTTACCTGCTTAGAAGTATGAGACGGAGTCCACCTGACAACATAGAGGCCCGTTCACTTCGAATCAAATACCAACTTCTGGCTGTGAATCTGACATCATTTGCAATGGCAATTTATTTCTTCATCAGACACAATTCATACTGTGAACCTGGTGGTAATTATGAGTTAACAACCTTTCATTCTAAGTATTCTTTGTTTCTGATTGAAAATTCCTTGCAGAAATGCCTCCAAATCATGATTTCAACTTACATTTCTCATCTCAACAGATTTTTTGATAAAAATGCCTGCATGCATAAAGTAATATTTACAATCATAGCTTCAGGTGAAGTCCACGAATATGATAAAAACCAGTATTAATGTTTGTTTTTTTTGTTAATGGGTGTTTGCTGTGACTGCATTTAATGCAACAAGACATCACTAAATCTGTAGGGTGAAAATATTAATAAACTTATTTTTCGAGTTAATAAATCCTCCTTAGTCCCGAGTCTCAGATGTCTTATTCTTTGTAGTCAGTTGTTAGATAGGAGTTTGTATGGACGTTTATAATGTTCGGTACTATTAACATGCGAACAGTTAAGTAAATATTCAGGATATTCCGAATTGTCATAACAAGGTCTTGTTAATCAATTAAGTTGAATTTGTATTTTCCCCATATAAATACCGTAGCAAGATCTGTGGATATTATAAATATTTGTTTTGTTAGCTGGACGTCTCAGTCTGTACATTGATGAGCTGTGTGTTGCATTACTGGCAAACGCGCTGGATAATTTCTAAAACAAAAAGTTAACTTTGATGTTTACTGTGTGTATGTGCACGTGTATGCATGTGTGCACTTCTGTCCCCTATTAATAATATTTATGAAACTCACATGTAAGGCTATGATTTTGTATCTGTATATCAACAGTTTCAATATGATGTAATAAACCTTTGAAATGGAAACCACAGGTACACACACACAGTCTGACAATTGAAAATGGGGCTGATTGTGTAAATATATATTGCCACTGTGGTAGACATCATGAAATTACATGCTTCAAGACCGTGGAATGAGTTCGTTGAAGTTCATAATATCTATCACAGTTTGTGACTTGTGTTAAATTGAAGATTTCTGTCTTCTGGGTTGTTGCGCTGTGAGAACCTCAAGTCTTACATTGTGTTAAATTGTTCAAGTAGAAGATCATTCTGAAACCTCTTTGCCTTTTAATTATCAGTGAAATGGGCAGATTGAAAAAATCTGCTAATAAAAGTTACAGTAAGCAGCTTCTTTATAATGTGTATAAATTCTTCAGCGATATTTGTGAGCAACCTGAACATCGTAATAATGTAGATGTCAACAAAGAAACAAGAAATGACAGCTGAAGCATGGGGGTTTATCGCAGCACAGAGTATAAAATTCGCAGTGATGCTTTCATAACTTTGTTGGACGATGCAGTATTTGCTTCTCCCAGTAAAACAGAAAACATACTACAGACATGAACAACTGATAAAGATGTGCTGTGCCAAGACTGTATGATGAATTTTATGGCATGGGGGTGATAGCCTACAGCATTCCATTAAGTAATGTGTATTTTTTTTTTTTTGGTATTGTTGAATATAAAATCCTGCATTACATTAAATGTCTAAATGAGGTGACAAACTAACTGTTTTATTGCAGCTGAAAATGAGTTCCTGGTCATGGCGCAAAATCATCATGTGTATACAACACAGAAACACACACTGCATTTTCTTGTAAGCTGATTGAAATGTGGTTTTCAAACTAATAAATTCTTGAACCTTGAGCTACATTCCATATCCAGAGTGTAAGAGCAGTGGGTAGAGTTGATGGAACATAAACTCGTAGCACTGTATACTTTTAATTACATAGTCAATAATAATAATAAAAAAAATGCAGATAAATAAGTTTTAATATGTTAATATAATAAAATGACAGAAAATGTATTATAAAGGTATGGTTATATTAACAAACAACAAATAATTCAGTAGCCAGAACACCTCACTGATCCCACACAACTCCGCTGAGACAGTCCGCACTTCACTGTCAGTGCAGCAGGACTGTCTTCTGGGTTATAGTGCCATGTAGTATGGTAGAAGTCTACCAACGTTTCAAGAGGTCCTAGCTTCCTCCATCATCATCAGGGCAATGAGCATTGCCCTGATGATGAAGGCAGCAAGGACCTCTGAAACAATGCTAAATACACATATACCAGACAGCGCAGTAGTGCCACCCACAAGACAACCATCTAAATCCTTACTGCCATAAGAACTTCAAACACTACTAAATTTTGTTGTAATCTCAAAGCATGTAATTTCATGACAGCTGTTATAATCTTTAATGTGGCAGCCTTCACACTGATCACCATCTAACTTTATACATGATTATAACATCTGGAAACATTACTGTAAATAATTTTCTGAAAGTCCTTTCAGTATTGTTTTCACATTGCTGTGAATATCTTAAAGTGATTCACAATGAGACCCTATTAATGATAATTGTAGTTTTAGGTAAGTACAGTGGATGTTCAAAAACTGTTTGCTTTTTGGCCTGAAATCTATTTACCACATGACGTTAGGCCCATAGACCCGGCACAGCTGACGATGAATTTCGATCGGCGCTATGCTCTGTGCATTCAAAAACTTTATCACTGACCGCACTTCACAGTCGGCGGGAGCTGGAATAAGAACCTCCATCTTGAACAGCTGCAACGATGCTACTGTGAGAACGCGGGAAGTACCGTTAGTGCATGCGCCATGCTACGTCATTGCTCTATCACGTACGCACAGTCGCTTCGCTCAATATAAGGTTTGCTAGCTGTGGGACGAGTGGGAAACTTACTTTTGGGACGCGCCTCGTACTATGTGAAAGGTGCATTTTCATGGTGCAATATCCACTTGTCTTTCCAAAGATTTGGTCTCTTTTTAACAAATGCACTTTCACAAACATTCCAAAAACTGATGGTAGAAAGCATGATTGATTGTTTTGGAGAAAGAAATTCATGATGGATAATGCCTTTGGCATCTTAAAAACAGATCGGCATGGTTTCAAATATCAGTTTTTATTTTTACACTTTTTTTTCCGGTCTTGGAGACTGATTCTTTTCCACTTGAGACTTCAGCATTTACTATTTTGGTCATACTGATAGACCCCATGTGTCACTCACTGTTTGTTCCAAAATATCAATTCCTCACAGGTCTTGCTGAAAGGTCTGAACAAATTCCTTTTCTTATCTTTTGAGTATCAAAATACGGTGTCACTGGAACGCTGTAAGAAACTGAATTCTGACGACTGTTTCACATAAAATTGCTTAATCATGGTCCAGCACACACCATCTTACCAATTTTGCCAGCATAATACATGAAAACGTAAAGTCTGGTAATTTGCAATTGTAACTTGAAGTTGGATGTATCAAAAACACATAACCTTTATTAACACTTTGGGCCATGTTGGTGTCATGTATTGGGATGGTATAATAATAAATCATTGCTTTCAAAATTCATTTGCTCAGACCTCAAAATTGTAGCTTGTGAAAATTGATGAAAGCTTTCTATGATTTTACTGAAAATTAAATTTTAATATCTGCTGAAGATTCTGGTTTTTAAAATGTGGTTCATGTTTCTGAAGTGTTTAGAAGTAGTATAAAGTAATAATAAAGACAAAATGAACAGTTTTGAAGCTGTGTTAATCAACAGGACACAATTTCTTATGTTAATTTATCTTCCTCCACAGTATATTCCATATTTGCGTTATGCGAATATGTTGTCGTATTAACCAATATGGCTTTCCACATGACTGCATTCTGGGACTTCCATGGACGGGAGTTACTTGTTGGTCCAACAGGTGTGCAGTTTAGCTGACAAACTAAACTACCGGGCAAAGAAGCTCAATAACAAGAGGGCCAGTCCATCACAGATACCAGTCCACCTACTGCGCAACTTCCCCAGCAGCCTTGCATAGCCACCCCCGATAGTTTCGAGTCTTTGGAGGAAGCTAACGCGTGTGGCAATATTCCATCTTCTGCTATACCTACTGTTCAACAGATGTCTCAGCTGCAGCCAGAATTCACATTGAGGCATAGCTGTACTGAGACAGATGCAAGATTTGTCGAAAATACACTTCATTCCACTACGAGGCAAATCCCATGCAGCATCTGTCGCCTGTTATTCCCAGCAACTGTCAGCCCAAGACATTCACAACAGTTGCAGCCTGAATTCTCACAGCATCCTCAGTTAGATCACGGGGGCCAACCTCCATCACAAGACATGTTGCCTTCCTACCAACAGTTCATTTACATGAGGATTGATCGTAGAATTATGGGAACACGGGTGTGAGCGTAGAGGAATTAATAAAATTAAAGCAGACATCTATATTAGTAGTGTGGAAATCTGTGATGTGACTGTTGTGATGTTTAAGATGGACCATTTCCTGTGACAAAAACACATGTAAAGAACTAGGAATAAGAAGAACGTGGCTGTTTTTTTAAAAAAAAACAGTTCTTACAAAGATAGTTATTCAAAGGCCATGTTTCACCACTGCCGTTTATACCATAAGTTTAACCGTGACTGAGAATAACTGGTGGTAAACTTCTCCATATGCAACTGTTAAGTGTTAACCACACACACTGAATTTTGCATGTCTAGTTTGGTGCATATATCATTAAATTTATATGAAGAGAATATTCTCTTATTGCAAGTAAAAGCCAGTAGCTCCACTAAAACATTACATTCTCTAGTATTAATATATAAAGTATCTTTGATGTTTCGAGTAACGAGGTAATGGTCGACAGGTACGGTGATTTCATTTACTCCCTTCACACATCTCCCGATTGCTTTATTGAAAGATATTACAATTGTGTAATGTAACATAATAGTCGGTATGTTTTGGTGGGTTCACGTTGCTTTTATTTCATCATCACTGCTACTTAAATGCACAGGAAAGTGTTTACCTACCTCACCTTCCCTCATCAGCAGATCATGAATTCATTGATGACATAGCCGTGACAGTTCAGGCCACACAGTTGTTACCATTTCTCAAGTTATCAGTTACGCACTTGAAGCCAGAACAGCACTTCATTATTAAATCAAGGCATAATGTTGTATCTTCTTATGACAGATTTTGCAGATTATTGCTGTGAAAGATTATGTGTGTGCCCCAATTTATGCAGTAGTTACAGTCCTCAAAATTTACCGTGTAAAGTTACGCAAAATATGTATAAACAAAACACATAATTCACTTCTGTGTTTAAACCAAGTTCTGAGCATAGGTACTCATGTGAACTCGAGATGTAACTTCCGAAATGAGTCAGAACGAACTTGCCAACGACACTTAACTTGGGGCACGTTTAAGCAGATGGAGCATTTCGACTACTGTCTTGTACAACTTATATGGGAAACAGAGTAGATGGAATGGCTGCAAATGTAGCTGCTGGTATGTGAATAAGGATGCATTACCAGTCACACAACCAATTACAAAAGTACAGTAGAAAAACTGAAAGAAAACGGCGAGACTTGCATTTTAAAAATTTCATAAGTAACTCTATACCATAGATGGCAGTCTTCTGGGTTGTAGCGTGTGAAAACCTCAAATCCTGACTCTTTGCCATGTCACATGAAACACACAGAAAAGCATAAAAATCCTCCGCCTCCATTGGGGATCAAACCCCGGTCATCCAATCTGTAGCCAGTCGCTATATTGACTGAGCTACCCCGGCTCCTTTTTTCTATTCTTATGCAAACAAAATCCTAGCTGGACAGAAGCGTGTTCTCTCTTCAAATGAAATTAATGTTTGAAACAAAAATGGTGAAACTGGCCTTAACATAGCTCAAAAGAGAAGTGAACAGTCAGTCTATCTTACCTATAGTGAAGTAATACAGTATAACTTTTACACTCAGAAAGCTGCTATCTTTTGAAATGCCCATATATTAAGCAGACATTGACAACCTTGAAGAACTTTTTTAACGTTACGTACCCTTCTTTATTATCTAGTCACTAAAAAAAATCCTGATCCTTTGGAATTATGACATCTTCAGCCAGTATGCCATTTGAATTAGTGGGCAGATTGCAAAGTGAGTCTAGGGTTGTGTTTCATTTCCTAGCGATGGGTGAAAGTCAAATTATGTATGGGGTACATTGTGTAAAAAAAATTCTGTACACAAAGTTAATTACAGTACAACTACAAGAAGGTACAATCTTATCAAATTTGTAAGATGGCAGATTTTATTACAAAGTGCAAATTCTGTACATTACAGGCTATCATCTTGACAGTCCACGACAAAGTTAATTATTATGTCAGTTTGATGTACATATACAAAAAGGAATAATAACAAATCTGAAGAGGAAATTAATGGCACGATAATTGCATTTACAATAAGCCACGTGTCACACGATTTGATGCTCTGACTTTAAAAAAAGAAAATATGCACACTTACGGTAATTCGTAAATCTTAAGCGAGATGAAATTAACCGCAGAATGACACATTCATTATCAGTCACATATATCTTCTGTTCATATTTTGAAAAAGGTTTAGTTGGCAAAAGAACGTGTGCTAAAAGCACCAACAAACTAGTATTCAGTCAGTTACTGTAAACTGAATTTTAACGAAACCAGTTATTTTCATGTCTGAATTTGAAATTAAGACCTGTAATTATATCTGTAATGTGAGTATGCGTATGGACAGTACGTCTGAAATTATGTTTTTTCCTTGTTTTTGAATACCGCTCATATTGCTTATACACCGTAAGTGAAAAATACTTCAAAAGAACCCATTGAAATATGGAAATTAGGTGTTACTGGCTTGAAAATTCCAAAAATATCTTAAGCATCTTCTACGCATTTATGCTTCTTTTTCGTACAGTGTAATTGTATATAATATTTTTCATAAATGTAAAATGTAACTTTACCGCATTTCAATTTGTAAATACTTTTGGATATGAGCCCAGTGTCAAGAAGGTGAATGGACTGTTATCATATTTATATGGTATTGCACTATAATATTTTTTCACATTGCTGTATGCTTAAAGTACAGCAGCCAGTATTTTTAAGAAAAGATACTTTAAAACCATGATCTCATAGCTTTGACATATAGTATTAGCCAAATATTAATGTAATTCACCTGTTAGTTGACGGAATGAACGACAAAAGAATGTATGTAACATTTACTATACACCAGTATCTAACGCTGAAATTTCTTAAAATTATTCAAAAGGGAAATATGTGTGTGAGAGAGTGAGAGATCTTGATTGTGGGTTTTGGACTTTTTCCATCGTGTGATGTCATAAAATTACCCAGCGTTTCAAGGACTGGATCTGTCCATGTCTTCAGGTGTGGTGAAAGGGGAAGGGCACCTATTCTGTGGGGTCCCTTAGAATGAACTAATCTCAACGATGGACAAAGTACAGAAACCCAACAATCCAGACTGTATTACACCATCATTAGAACCCTTCAGAATAGAGAGAGAGAGAGATGGTTATCCATTTGGTAATGTAACATATTCATGTATTCAGGGTCGGTAAGAGGTCACTTGTTGTCTGACAGGTTTGTCTCAATGAAAAATTGTTTTATACCAACAAACTGAGTTACCTACTGCAATGTGTTTTTGTGTTGTGTAAAGCATTTTTATGTCACCTATAATTAAAAATCCGTGGCGTAACAGCTCCAGAGAGCCAAAGCCGACTAGCTTGACTGCTGGCCTCACGTTCACATGCCTAAGCAGAGGCGAACGATCATCCGACCAGATATAGGGTGACGTGTGGTCAGCACGACGAACCGCCAGCCATTGCTAGTTTATATGACCGGATTACGCTACTTATCGTAGCTCCCCAATTTCCTCACGATGCCAGGTTGGCACCGGTCCCAGAAACTGGTCGAAAGCTCATGAGAAAATTTCTTCTCCCCCGAGACTCGAACCAGCGCGCATTCCGTAACGCCGGTTCGAAGCGTGATGCCTCAGACCACGCGGTTACGGCGCGGGACATGTCACCTATAATATTTACCTAAATTTAAGACAGCAGCAGAGAATAACACAAATCAGAAGGTTGAGATGCAAAGAAACGAGGAATAACAGGTATTAGTTTATCCAACAAAAATTAATAATCTTGTGTATTGCCTTCAGTTACATTTTCATGTTTTTTAACCTGTTATAGAGTCGTTGGCTGAGTCTGCATAATTCAGTACATTCACTGTAAATTATGTATCATTTCTACTTATTATTAATGTAAGAAACTTCCTGTGTGGTTCATGTAACTTCATGTTTAAAGTTCCAGCGAGCAGAAATGTTTATTACAGTTATGTTTTCCCTCTTCTGATAATATTCCTCTATTCTTTCCATCCACAAATTTCATCTTCGCAATATTATACTACAGTTATGGACTGGACGTGCAGTTCAAACTGTGATATCTGTATTTTACATATTGACTCCCCTACCTGTCGTAAGTTTGTAGTAAAACGGATAATGAAATGAGATCACCCTGACAGTTTATTATCTTATTATATGAATTTAGAACCACCCTAATTTTTTCCAATACCAAAATATTCCTAAGTGCTTCAGATTTGGATAAGTAGAGAGAGGGAGAAAGATAAGATGGATAGCAGAAGAGTAGAATTTGCAACGAGGAAATTGGTGGAAGGGGGAGAAGTGAAAGACACTTCGATTTCAGGGGGAAAGAAAGATCATCTTATAGTTAAGAGGGTCCCCAAGCAATGCCCGCTCGTCCTTATGGCAAGGATAAAGTAAAGTAGGAGTGAAGACGTTAGGACGATAATTGGCAGAAATGACGGAAATTTTGAGTTTTATATTAGAAAATGTGGAAGTTATTAATTTGGAAGTTTGGTACATAATTTAGCTGCTTCGACTGGGGAGAGGGGAGATAAATTTTGATTAATTTAAATCGGGATGGCTGCATGAGAAGCATGCAGTTGGAACTTGGGAACCATCTCAGCATTTGCTTGAAGACAGATTTGGATAAGTACATTACTCTCAGTGTGACTTACGAGTAAGCGGTAAAAGAGAACAGTACGTCTAGCCTGTCACTGTCAAAGAAACAAAATAGTAGTATTACTGATTCTTCTGTTTTGTTTCTATAACGTGCTTCTTCACATCTTCCTTCCTATGTCTGCTTTGTACCTTCTGTGCTAATTTTCATGATCTCGTATATCCCTTTCTCCGCCTCCTTAATGTTAGGACTGATAATGGTAGTAGTGACATTCGGATGATGAAAATTATGTGATTAAAAGAGTTTTGTATATAGTGTCTCACAAATTTTGTATGTGCATGTATTTTCACAAAAATACAAAAGTAATTCTGAGGAGTACTATTTTAAGTATGTGGAGAAGAACACTTTTATGGTCGGGATGCAAATATTTGGATTTGCGCATGGTACGTCATATTACAGTGCAACTGTCTGTTGGGTTAACGGTGTCGTAACACATCTCCTATAGAACGTAATGTGAAAATACTTACAGTAGTAGATTCTGAAATATTTTAGTTACTTTTTGAACTGCTAGTTTGAAGCCTTTCGTAACAAACTAACGAACAGTGCCTTTCTTTGTGTTTTTCTTGTCCTTGCGAAATATAGCAAAGTAAAGTGAAATTGTACTTCCTGTTTACTTAATTGTACTCCATTGTACAAAATATGTGCAGGAAGTTTTAATTTCATCAAGCAAATTCTTATCATAACCTGTAAGAAACAGGATACTGTGATATAATTTTTCAGTATGTCTGTCATTCCCTAATAATTTTTTAACCAACTGACAGTTGCTCATGGAATTTGGTATGAATATCGTGCCGCTAGTAAAAGCTGCCTCTCCTTTGTACTTTTGAATTTCTTGTCACCGGCAAAACCATTACAGTAACCATGTGAACTTCTGATGTGGGAAACTAGACCTTCAGATGTGCGACTTGTGTTAGTATTACATCTCAGTGTTAAAATTACTATGAGTCCTCAAAAATTTTTCACTTAATTTGTCATTTCTCATATCTGTTATCCACTATGTAACACTATTATTCTGTACGTACAAGAAATACTCCTATCGAAAGATTCTCAGACCAGATCCTTATGATTTTGTTTCCGACTTAATTTTTGTAATGTTAAATGAGAATGCCATGAGGCCGGTAGTCCCCACCGAGGAATCAAAATTGAAAATTATTCCTGATTCTGAATCTGGCAAATGAGCAGTCAACATCAGACATGAATGTGGAATAATGTCCATAACAGTAAGAACTGTAGTTGATAAACAATAATATAAATATGATGCAAAATTATGGAGTTTCACAGCTAAATAATTTAGAAGCATAAAAACATATTTTGATGAAAATGAAGGTGATACTGCTGATTATGATTTCTGATCAGCGAGCTATGGAAGTTAATGTGAATTTCACTCTTTATCAGGCAGAAATCAAAGAGAATTTTGAAAAGTCTCAAGACTAGTCTTTAATTATATTTATTTACATGAAAAATGAGTTTAGTGCTCAAATTTATGTCTTCTCTGGTACAAATTATCATTATAACACGCGAATTCATTGCTTCATATCCATCATAGTCTTAACGGACCAGTTAACACGCATTAAGGAACCGCCATATAAAGAACCATTGAAGCTAGGCATGTGAAATGTGTACAGTGTTAGGTTAGGGCATGTGAAATGTGTACAGTGTTAGGTCAGAACAACACAAAATCTGCAAGATGCATTGTTTGAAATGGTAACGTGTAGAAACATGGCAATGAGTGAAAAATAGCCAACACATTTAACACAAAATGAGAATCTGTTTTAGTGAAGATTACATGCATAAATGAAGCATGATTTGTGAAATTATGGTTCCTGTTAACTAACTCCATGGAGCATAGTCCATCTTGATAAATTTATATTATGTCCTCTTATCTGTGCCTAGGTATTCTGAGTGGTCTCTCCTGTTCAGATTTTCCAATCAAAATTTTGTATACATTTCTCATCTCTCTCCATGCATACTACATGTACTTCCATCTCATCCTCCTTAATTTTATTATCATGCTTATAATATTTATTTAAGAGTACAAATCATGGAGCTTATTAGGCAATTTCATCCAGTTTCGAATCACAGTTTCCGATGGAATAATCTAAAGGGAAATAGACCTCAACTTTTATTTCCCGAACTTCTGTCCACAACTAGCTATACTTTGAGTACTACCTTCATTTAGCTATCAAAATTGTTAACAAAAATATCAGTGAATGGCTTGAACATGTTCAAGCAGCCGTCTCAAGTAACGTCCTGTTTGAGAGCACGGTCACTTAATTTTGCCGTCAGATACAGCACCACGTGGCTTCTCCAGGAATTAGTGTGGTGGGTTGACATATCAACTTAAATTTAAGATGGCTGTCTTCCTGGTTGTAGTGCCATGCAGTCTGGTAGAAGCTCGCCAACATCTCGGAGGGTGATCATCACCCTTTTGATTAAGGCAGCAAGTACATCTGAAATGCTGGTAAACTTCTACTCGATTGCATGGAACCACAACCCAGGAGACAGTCATCTTCATACTCACCAGCATGAGAGCCTTGGATTTGACTTAAATTGTTACAAATTATATTACTTCTTGGGTAGAGGCTGCCTGATAACGCACAATCATCCACACATGCAGTAATGCCTTTCATTATGTGTCTTTCTCGTCAAACATTGTACCCTCAGAATTATGTCTTGTGTATATTTTTATTTATTAAACTGTTTACACTTTCTGGAATATGTGTGTGTGTATGTGTGTGTTGTTAATATAGTAATATACGGTACTTGTGGGTTATCGGGACACATCGCTTTAAAAATAGGTTAGGTTAGGTTATCTTAGGTTAGGTTAGGTTGCTATGAAACTATATTTCAGTGATAGAGTGAAATGGAGGTGCGGTAAACAATATTGCAGAACAACAACCTAACCTAACCTAACCTATTTTTGAAGCGATGTGTCCCGATAACCCACAAGTACCTAATATACTTTTAAAACTATAATTCTGTACTTTAATGTCCCAAATTTCCCTTTTAAAGTTTATGGAAACTAGATGACACAAACTGTTGGTAATAACTAGAGAAAGTTCCCATTCTTTACCTGGGTTCTTCTTAAAATAAAGTGTGTTGAAAAAACAAAATTCTGGGTTTATTATGGCAGTCTTATGAATACTATATTCCCACATGCCAGATATATATTATTTGTCACCATGCCATGACGTAACACAGCATTTACTTTGTGAATTAATAATATGATGTAACCTGTCTGCAAATTGTATTGTACTTTGTAGGTCAATTCAAACAAGTCACATTCCTTTCGCTATAAGAAAAGTATTCTGTGGTTAAAGTTGTCCCTGGTGCAGCTTTCATGTGGTCCAGCTGAACATGTATTGCACTAGCATACCATTAACGCAGTAGTTGAAGTTCAGTCATCAGCCTGTAATATTAGGATTAAAGTTACCTTCTTCTTCTTCTTCTATGGCTCTCTGGTCCCTATTCGGTCCATGGCCTCCTCAATTCTCCTCTTCCATTTGGTCCTCTCTTAGGTCCATCTGTCTGAGGTTTCAAAACATCTTCCTTTTTACAGTGCAAGGTTGTTGGCCTTGACACCAACCCCCACTTAATGGTACCTGCACCTTGTCGTGGTGGTGGGGCTTGAGTACCTCGGTGGCCCCAAGAGCTACTGGTAGGGCCTGCCTAGCCAGATTGGTCGAGGGGGAGAAGTACCCTGGTCCTCCAGGTTGGGGGTTGGTCGCAAAGCTAACAACCTTGCACCGTAAAAAGGAAGATGTTTCGAGACCACGATCAAAGCCTCAGACAGACAGACCTAACAGAGGACCGAATGGAAGAGGAGAACTGAGGAGGCCATGGACCAAACACAGACAGGAGAGCCAGAGAAGAAGAAGAAGATATGTTGGTGGTTGTTGATTGCTGTAGTTTCCACTCCAAGATATTGGTAGAAGTGTTCTGTGTCTTCCTTGAACATTTTGTTTTGGAATTACTGGTTTTACCTTTTTTTTTCATACTTTCTCATTCTCTGGACCTTCACTTACACTTTCTATTCCAATTCTAATATAAATTATGTTATTTCTATAGCATTTTCTACTGTTTATTTCTGAAAAACTTTAGTTTTTTATGGTTAGTTTGATTTTATCAGAACCTGAGCCTGATTCAGTAAATATGGACATTTCTCTTCTCAAGTCGCTTATTTGTCTTTGTATTCTGATTCTTTAAATGTCATTATTCCTTCTACTTTTTACTGATTTGCCAGGTTTAGTGATCCTTTCTGTAAAACTGTTGCTGCAGCACATATCAATTTTCTTTTCTGTTATGTCAATTTCAACCTCATTTCAAAAGTTAATCAATTATACCATTTATGTCTTCCTTAAAATATGTTAGTTTATTCTTTTCTGTCAGTCTTTCAGCCATTTGCAAGAGCCTCAATTTATGCCACATTATTTTTGGTTATTTCTAAAACTCATCTCTAACTGAGCTTTGCTCTGGATATTTCCCTAAGTATTTCTTGTGTACGAGTTCTACGTTGCCATTGTTTTTATATTTCTGTTTGGTTCTCTGTTTTATCCTGCATACGATGTCATCAGTTTCAATGTCTGTAAGTTTATATTCTGTTAGATACAATTTTTCTGGTTTAATAATAATTTTGCATCAACGTTTGTCCTCGAATTTGGATTTCTCTCTCTCTCTCTCCATAGTTGCTTTACAGTTTTCTGTTAATGATTGGATTTGGTCCATCTTGAGATTCCTTGGTATCATTACCATTCTCTGCATATTGCCCATAAGAGGATAATCCATCTTGCAGTGTGTTTATTACCACACTCTCATCTCTGTCCCATGAGTACCTAGGGTAATATTCTGTTTACTGTCATCTTGCCTTGCCCACCAAAGGAAAGCTACTTCAAACCAAGGATTGTCATTTCTCAGAGCTCATAATCTTTTATTTCTTACCCTCCACCCCAGATGCATTTAAATTTTCCATTCGCTTACCTGGAGTAGAGTAGGAATCCATGTAAACTTCAGTCTGCCAAAATTAAAAGAAAGAACAAGACTGAAGAAAGGTAGATGAAATGCAAGAATGTGCAGATAGAGACATTTGTAAAGTACGCAAAAAAAAGTCGACCCACACTTACAGAAACACCTAAGGTAGAAGAATATTTTAACAATTTCACATAATCTTTCTTACTTGTAGGTTAGGTTTTGAGTAATTTGGAAGAAGTTGCTTTATACGTACAAGGTCTGATGTACCGAAGCAGTTGTGCCGGAACGACGCAATGGTTTCAGATGAATTCCTCTGTTGCTCATCAGTCCGTGGGTGAAACACTCTTTTGAACGAACTGTACCAACCAGCTCGGGAATCCCTCCGCTAAAGGGGCCGATGGAAAAACCTAGATGCATCCGGGTCTCGAACCTCAGACAGTCCATCAAACTGTAATTCTTCGAAATGAACTGCCTTCTTTTTCACAGTTATAATAATTACAAGGTAGTCAAGTGTGATTTTCCTTTGTTTACCACTGCGTATTCAACTCAGAGCTGTTTATCAAAGATGGTGAACTATAAATCACTGTATAAATAATTTGTTTAACATCTGTGGTTCTTACTGTAGTAGACACGTCTAGACGGAAGTCTCCTGGACTGCAACGGCATGTGGATTCGTAAGTGAGTACAAAAGTTTAACGAAGAGTTGTACCCATCGAATGTTCCACACGGCGTCTCAGACCACGTCACTATCGATGTATGAACAAATCTGTTCCGTAGACAATATGACGGAGTGTTTTAAGCAGAATCTACTTGTAACGGAATCTCAGATATCCTGAAATTCTCGTTACTGTACGTACTGTACTTCTGAAGTACCACGGTTTTAAAAATGTATAGCTCTACGCGTTTTAACCTCGGTGCTAGATCTGTGTGCGCGAAGTATATAGATAAATGTATGATTTGGTATTTATACGATGGTTAAATGTGACTGGTTGTGACGTCATGTACACTTGTAGCGGATTAGAGAAATATGTCGCTTAGATATTCAGTGAAACTTTTCTAGCCGTCTACACGGCTTCACACGCTACAAGAAACACAACAACATTTCTGGCTTCACGGATCAGAAATCTGTTGACTACAGTTCAGCGCCACTCCCGAACAAAGCAGGGCCCTCCCTCTTTCGAACGAGTGTCTGGACAATCCTGTGAATACGCGTATAAACCTAGACTGACCTCCAATCAGTGAATAACACTGAGAATTCATTCTGAGAGTTCTGTGCTGCTATAATTGCTACGCCGCGGGCTTCGCTGTAAGTGTTGCAACGGTGTTGCTGTGACCTTGAAGCATGCAATTTGGTGACGACTACCATAACTGCTAGTGTCGTTTTCCGAATGCGTTAACAGGTCGATAAATGTTCGTAAAAGTGTTATACGGATCTGGAAACAGAAGGACGAAACTGGCGGTAGACAAATTTCTTCAGGCTGTTGTGAACACGACAATGAACATTTGCTTCTAAACAAGGGCCTTGCTCCATGTGTTCTCAAACGTGGCACAACCAATGGTTTTAGTTTTGAGAATCTTCGGACAGTAGTGAATTATCGACTTAAAACCTACCTTAATATTCAGCGCTAAAACCTGACTTGTTCGCGGCGTCGTAAATCTCACCGTAAGTTAATATAAAGCACTGTGTATTTGACTACAGCGGCAGGCCGTAGTTTGGCCACCCCTGGTACACAGTAGATATGACACCAACAGCAACTTTTCATGTCGTGACGTAGTATCACTCGTGTCGATAGGTAATGTGAGCTGGATTGTATCATCTTTTTTTAAAAGGATGATTTTTGTCAAGGAGTTACTTTCATCGTAGACTCTTCTTACGTAATACTTTGTTATGCAAATTCGCTGTAGCAAAATACTTGCAGATGCGTTGTAGAGTAATTAATTATTTTTACATTTACATTACAAGGAAGTCAGTGTCTGCCGGTGTAGCATGCATTGAGAACACCAGTACAGAGTACACAATTTCTGTTGAAAACCCTGGAGGAGAAGACACGTCTTGGCGGACATGGACACAGAGCAAATAAAAAAAAAACTGAAATAAATTTTTGAAGATGTGAACTGGATTAAGGCTTCGACCGGGATGTTCTTTTGTTAAATCTTATGTGGTACCGCCTGATTCGACTTCTAATGGTTAAGTGAAGTGTTTTCTTCGCGGTACGGTCTGGATTCGTAAATATTATGAAGACGATCTCCGGCTTCAAAGGGTTAACCAGCTGATTTTCGTAATGGTGAGGTGTAGTGTTTTCTTCGCGGTACGGACTGAATTCATAAATAATATTCAGACGATCTTCGGCTTCAAAGGGTTAAGAAGTCAAAGAAAAGTTCCAGAAGTTTGGTTTCTGTGGGCACAGATCCATAAAACAAGAAAAATTGGCAGTCAAATAAGAATCTACAGTATGGCATTTGTTGGTTAGTCAGTCTCTGTTAACATTCCTCGCTGGTGAGGCGTTATTCGAGGATGTCCGTAGACCTAACGCACAGGGTGTGACATTTTATTTCGTGAAATTCTGTGTCGAGAAGCTTTTATCTTCCATTATAGAACATTTTCAGTCTTTCTGGAATGTCCCCGTGAAATTTATTTAGTTGTATACGAGAATGGAGGTGAAATTCCACGAATTTTAATTAGACGAAGATGACTAGATACTTACACACAGTCCGACCGACCGACTTATACTCACAGGAACAAAAAAAACAAAAGACGCCCGAGGCTACGTAGCTCGTGGTGTCACCTGGCGTTGAAGGGAAGGAAACTCCGTCCATGCGCTTACCAGTCGCATCTTTCAGACGAGATCGGAACGAGTGATCATATTTGGTGTGGTAATCGTGCCATTAAAGACTATTCCAAATTCGCGTTTTCTAATTTTCTACAAACGGTAATAACAAAACGACGGTTGTGCAAAGTCGTGAAGTGGGAAGATTATGACGCCATTACTCATGATTCCAAGGGCATGCGCGATAATGTTATCGCATTGTTGCCACAATGACACGTTGAATTTCTAACCATTCTTACATTTATTTTCCCGATGATAATCTCATGGCCTGTGATGTCGCCATCGAAATTCATCTCTCTCTCTCTCTCCAATACAGTAATTAAAAATAAGTGAGGTTATGTTTAATGAAATTTAAAAAAAAAAGACTTTCCGCAAAACTCAAAACTTATAGGCTGTTCCGAAGACGTCATATCCAGAAATTACGTCATCAACAATGATGTTCGTCGGTACGAATACAAAAACTCGAGTGTGATGGAACTGATTTATATTAAATTTGGCGTGGGTGTTATGCCAATGGCACAAAGTCTAACGTTGTGCTTTTTTATCTCCTTTAGTCGTTGATACCAACATAACGAATTGTCAATTACGTGAGATGAAAGTCAGTGATGGCATTAGTACGCGAGGTAGGCAATCTGCATAACCACGGGGCCATTGTTGGTTTCTCTTTTATTTACATTCCGACTGTAAATTCGTATTAGCATTTCTACTGCTACACTAATTCTCGTTGTTCTCCATCCTTCTATTGTTGTTTTACTTTTCTATTGTTTCGTTCCCATTATTATGTTTTCTTGGTCCTACTGTCCACCATTATTGTTGTCTTCCAACAACTTCTTTACTTTGTCTGGTCTGACACCCCGTGGCCTCTACCATCTCCGGTTATCCAGGCCTCAAGATGACAAGAACTGTCCCCAAGGGCCTTCGACACCCAAGGGGCTAGGCCACTTTCCAGAGGACACACCCAGCGCCTAGTCCCTGGGAGCTTTCTCACCCAAGATCCCCAGGATTGTTGAGCAACAACGATCTTGAGTCGCATTAGTGGAACAAAGACCTACCTGATGTGGCGTGAAGAACGCCTTTCAAAGACTGTCTTATTTTACGACGCCTGTCCAGGTTAAGACGAGTCGAATGATAGGATGATTAATGAGTAACGAGTTGGAAAGGACTTGTAACCGGAAGTGACCCGAGTTCCGATGAAATCGCAAAATTTGCATGGAATAATACGAGGTGCGATCGGAAAGTTTCAAGACTGTGTCAATAGAGGGCGAACCGGATGTAGTACGAGCTTCTGCCGCTAGGGGGTGCGGCCTACATTCATAGTGAATCAGTGTGCCAGCCGGCATCATCGAATTAGCATTTGTTTCTTAGTTACGGGCGTTTTGGTAAATTGAAAATTCAGCTAAAGGGAAGGAGATTTGAGACGATAGAAGAGATTCAGGCAGAATCGCAGATGGTGCTTGACAGGCTGACAAAGAAAGATTTCCAGGGATGCTTCCAGGCTTGGCAGCGGCGCTGGGATCGTTGTGTTCACTCCCAGGGGAACTACTTCGAGGGTGATGGATGAATTTAATACCTGAGATAAGTGTACGGGTTTTTATAGGCGCAGTCTTGAAACTTTCCGATCGCAACTCGTACAAGAAACTCACGAAAACCGGCAGTCAGAGCAGCCAGTCTCTGGACCATTCGGCCACAGCGGCCTCTCAGGAATTCGTACTTCTCCGGAGGCTTCCAACCCGTGGTTTGGCCTAGGGCCTTCACCCACTCGACTTTCCCCATATTTAACTCCTGGCAGATTTGGAGTCTCGGGATTGCCCTCCTCCAGAACACCCCCTTTAAGAGTTCTCCCTTCTACCAGAGCCTTTTTAAATCCGTGCTTTTCTCTCGCTGGGGCTGGACACCCCTGGGATTCCAGCATCCCGTGTTACATCACCACGGACCGTTTTCACCACACACTGCTCAGAAAAGTCAATGCCAAATGTCATTAAAGGAATTATCTGGATAACACATGATTCTTTGCAATAGAAGGCAACACACGGCAGAATTTGTAACAGACTGTACCGTGGTTTATTAAAATTATAATCTGTCGGTCCAGGAAGAATATTTAATGGCCACTGGCCTATATGGTTTGTATATTTTTAAAGTAAGTCATTGTGAAAGAAAAAAAGTCTATCTGCCTATGAATCCAAAATGAGTTTTAAAAAAGGGGGTAATTCATTTCGCTGTGGTGGGGAACATGCCGATGGCTGGTTAGGAGTTGTGACGTCACGCCGACTTGTAAACGGGTGGCAATATTTCTAAGGGACACACTGTCTGTATTATCTCTGATGTCTGTCATTGAGCTACGCGTGTTTCCAGGTTCACTCTGATGGCGGAATATCGAGTTCCTAATTTTAACGAGACATCTTTTCTTACCTTCCTTTGATTCAGTACGACGTACAGAGTTAATCATTCGTATGGATTTCATGAAAAATGTAGTATCCCAAACTCTTGAATATGTGTCCCAGAACACAAGCCTCCTTCCTAAGTTATCTGCGAATGAGAGATCCAAGAAAATGCTTCAGTTTTCCACCGCCAGAGAACACTCTTCCCTGCCCTGAGACAGGTGCTTCGGAATTGTCGAAAAACTTCTACACAAATTACGTAGTGCACATACAAGGAGAATACCACAAACTGATTTACCAATAAAGTAGAATACAGAAGATTTGAGTAACGACAAGTTCAGCACGGATTATGGGCTGTGGTGGACAAAATTCTACAGACGGAACGCGATGATAGTACAGCCCAGGTTGTTGAGACATGTGCCCTTTCAATCCCCATGCATTGAATGTGGTACATCTGGAGATAGGCCATAAAATCTCGAGTTCAGTAAGAAGGTCTGAGGGTATCCATTCTACACGGAGGATAACAAAAGAGATTCTAAGCAGCACGACCGTCAAAATGACAATAAAATGAGTAATAATGTTTTAAAGTTGTGACGGTCATAGAGGAAAACCGATGATTCATCTAGCAATAACTATTCATTTTACGTGTAAGAAATTCCTGAAATTAAAACCAAAGGCTTTTAAAAGAATATATTTATAATAAAAAATGCATTTTAATTCTTAGGGACTCTTCATGAGGCCCTAAGTTACAGCTTAAACGTAAATCCGATGCCTCTATGACCACAAAACGTCACGGACAAAGGGATTCGAACCCTGTATCGAAATTTTTGAGTAGGCAAGGTCATAGGTCCAGACCGTGAGGTCACTGTGACCGGCTTCTATGCTAGTTCGCCCTCTATAAATAATTCTCCGAGTCGCCGGACTTCGCGTGTATGAATCATTAGTAGGTCGTCGGTGGCTGTTCGAGAATGTTCTCGGTGGAAGGAATGGCCGTCAGCTGGTACTCGCTGGCTGCTCTGCGTGGTCGTCTCGGTAACGTGGCAGCCCCAATATGGAAACGGTCCGTCGTGTTTTGAGGCAGCGCGATCACGAGGAAGCAGGGAGCGTCCCAAAACAGTCCGCGTAGCAACAACACCTCTTGGGGATTCCCCGGTGTAAACATTGCATGCTGGCTAACAGGGGTGTCGCAACTCGGCTTTTGTGACTCATCCACAGCGAGAATTAACGCCAAGTTCGTTCGTCACGACGCAATTAGTCATTCACTGCAGTGACGACCACCACACACACACACAACGAAACTTAATAAAAATTTAAACGGCTAGAAAATATTTTATCGAACCTAAAGATACATCACCGTGTTCACAAAAGCCCGAAGTAAGACTAGTATTATATAAGTCTTAATTTAATCCACATGTCATACAACCTAGATCAATGTAACCTGAAGTTGGAAGCGATAAGGTACACCGAAACGTCAGTAAACACGTACGAGACTACGCGGTTTCAAAATTCATAGTTTCAATATTGCCTCGTGTCTCGTAAGCGGTTTTTCCAGGAAGTTTACACATCACGACCCCGAGAAGCCCCTGTGACACTTGACAGAATATTGAAAAGTCGATAAATACTGATAATAAAATAAAAATTGATATCGATATTCATCTAAAGTGTAGACAAGGGAATATGGAGACAAATGAGAATCGTAAGATGAAAAGTCTGTTATTAAGATTATTTTTGTTTTGAAATTTACATATTCCCTGTTGTAATTACAACTAAAAGAGACGTATAACGTGATTTTTACTAAGTAGGAATTGTTCGCTAATAAAATTAGAAATATTAGATTGTGGATCATATCGACATAGCTCATGATCGCGATACAATAATATCGATACACGCAATATATCGAAACAATGTCCCCCCTCCATTTTCAGACCATAAGTCGAATGTTTTCACATCTGTTTGTCTACCGTTTATCCCGCTCCGTTCCTGTCTTCT